TAGGGCCCTTGTCGTGTACGCAGAGGGCTGGAGTTCGGTTCCCGAGTGGGAACGTTATAATATTGTTATCGCCTTCTTTCAGTCGGGAGGTATGGTCCCCTATATTTACTTAACAGCCCGATTTGCCTCGAACCGGCAGGGTCGAACCTGTCTTCCTCGGAATCGGAAGAAACCTAAATTGTGTCGATGAGGGCTTAACAAAAAACAACTAGCCACTCCGAAGTAGAGACGGGATGCCTCCATCTACTCTGCTAATAATCATAGTAGATAACATTAAAATTTGTTGCCTACCTCAGACTCGTATAGCGCAAGTGTAGAAAGTGTATTCAGTGTGTAAGGCCATAGGCCCACATCACTTCATATGGTCGCTTTAAATTAATGACAAGCGGTTTCGGGCGAGTCCAGAAATCTTGACCTTCACCAAAAGTGGGCATTGCCCTACCTATAGGAGAAGTTTGGTTTCACTGGTGTGTATATTTGTTTGGTTATTGAGAAAACTCTCTTTGTCTTTTAAAGAAACTTAACAACTATCCAAAAACTTTACCTTCGATTTTCTCAAAGCAGCATTTTTCGGGATAGCTCCCTTGTGCGTTAAAGCGACCATATACAACACTCATTAATTGTTCAATCGAGTTTTGTATGGCGCAAATCCCCGCTCAAGAGCAAGCTCTGTGCACTTTACAAGCTATCTTATATTATTTAGTAGATCCAAGAAAAGCCAGGTTAAAAGAACGCCAGGCCTTTTTTATGCTCGTGATATTATGTTTTAACGGAGAATTATTTAAACTCTTAAAATCATGAATCAACGTGTGTTTGATATTGGTCAGAACGGTTCAGTTGACCAAAACCATTGGAAGTTTTAGTCGACGTTACAGCAGCTGATGTATTCTTGTATATATAATTTATTTAAGTTAGGATTATTTTGAATATGTTAGTATGACTAATTGCTTTGCAGAAGAAGAAGAAGAAGAAGAAGAAGAAGAAGAAGAAGAAGAAGAAGAAGAAGAAAAGGAAGAAAAAGAAGAACTACTCACTGCAATTTGATATATGTATTGACTAACCCTCTTTGCTACAAAATGTTATGTTATGGTCTAGAAACGGAAAGACGACCGGGGCTCACCGTTCCAGGTTATTATTTTACAAGACGGTGACGTCTTCACTTTTGCTACACTGCCTTCCCGCGGTTTTCGCAGCACCACTGCTAAACGGCATTCCTTTTAACAGATTTGTTTGTTTTTTGTTTGTTTTTTAGATATCAAACCCACCCTCCCTAGAATGCACCTCTCCCTTTTTGCCTACCATACCACCTTTGCTGCAGCATAGCAGAAAATCTTAGAACTGCTCCAATTAAATAATTATGTATAACATTTATACAGCGGATTTCCCAAAAAAGTAGCTCAATGCACTTGGGGTTTTTTTCTTTTTTTTTGTGTCTGTTTGTATGCTTGTTTGTTTGTTTTTTCTTATTAAGACATAGATTTGAATGACACAGAGCATTTGGACTATTCCACAAAGTATGCACTTGGATTACGAGGTTTTTTTAATGTGTGTGTGTGTGTGTGTGTGTGTGTGTGTGTGTGTGTGTGTGTGTGTGTTGTTTGGGTTTTTTTGTGTGTTTGGGATTTTTTTCCTTCTATTTCTGGAGTTGGGGTTTGGGGGAGGGGGGTGTGCTTGGGTGTGTGTAGGTGGGGCTGCGAGTTTGTTTTTGCCTTCTATTTTTCTTCTGCACCTATTACAAGAAATGTCTTGAAGTAAGTCTTTCGTCCTTACTGTTATCCTTCTTTCTCTTTTAAAATCAGATTCTCGCCCCTTCATCGCTTCTTGAATATAAAGATAGCAACAAGTTCAATAACACTGTCAGCATGTTTGCACCTTCATAATCCCGTTAAAAAAGCAACTAATTTAAGAGTTTAAAAATGTTTGTTGGTTATGTGTTTTTCAGTTAGGTCTATCAGGTATAAATAGATCAGTTGTTTATTTTTTCACAAATGGCTTTGCTTTTGAAAGTCCGTAAATATTCGCCAAAACTACGAAACGATTTTTATTTTTATAAAATAGATCCGGATGTAGGCTATAACATTTTTTTCCTGGTGTGGTGTATCTGAACTGCAGTAGACTGTTCGGATAATATTGTACTATTTTGTGACCCGTCTCGATTGTCAGTTTCAATTTAATGGCCTGGCATTATAATCAGTTTTCTGTCACTTCTCAGTCTAAAAACTTGCACTAAGCATCTTGAGCACATAGCGAAGAGGTTATAATAGTGGTATTAGTAGATCTACCTCTTTGACACCTAGAGACATTAGCGTGGACTCTGTGTTCACTTGTTATGTTAGTATGTGCGTTCTGTACTGGTGCAGGAAAGTACATTTGGTTTTACACGAAGCTATCGAAGCTATTTATTTCACACGACATTCCTGTCTCGTTTACCCATAAGGGATTTCAAACTCCCTTTAATTAATATCAAGAAATGTTAGACCCCCTTTAATTAATACGAGGGTATTTCAAACTCCCTTTCACAAGAAGAAAGGATTCTGTGGCCCCGTCAAGTTCGTGTTATCGGGGTTTTACTTTATTCTTTAGGTGTGTTGTCAGCCTTCTTTGCGGAAAAGCTTGTTGGAAAAATGACATTGTATGTTGCAATCGGTTTGTTTTTTTCCAATGCCATGTGATTGCGCTTTTGCTCTCCAGCTGGTTGAGAAGAGGGGTCCACTTGAGTGCCTAATATTGTTTCCTTGAGATGTTGGAGTTGTTGTTGTATTGCTTTATATACTGGAAAAATAGATTTTAATTCAAGTACAATACTATATTTCAAGGTGATTATTTTCTTGAACTTAACCTTGAGAATCAAACACTAACTAAACTGATGCTGGGGGGGGGGGG